GTGAGTGTGAGAGAGAGAGAGAGAGAGAGAACGTGAACAACCAAGCACACTGTAGACAAACATTTACAGCTTTACCCTCATTCCAGCATCTCCTGGCAGCAGCAGCATTACCGAGAGGCATCTTATTACTTTAAACCATTTTAAACAAGTAAACACATAAAACACTGACAGATCTGGGTGTTAATTACAGTAATAATAATCATTTTAAATATAAATAATAATGATAACGCTACAGTTCAAAGACTATCCTCATTTCTATTTACAGCGATTTATATTTGGCGGTATGACTTTGTTCTGGGACCTCCCTGTCCTTGTATACCACGAGCAAAAAAGCAGGCATCGCTGACGATGACTTTGATAGAGTCAGAAAAAACATGAAAAGAAAGATCTGGGGTTGAAGGTGGGTTGAAAAGTGACTTGCAGATGCACAGCAACTGTAGTGAGGCTATATCTGCTGAACCAAGATTCCTAAAACATAGAAATTAGACTGTATTTTTGTACTTTCACACAAATTTTAGATTTGTATAGATTTTAGGATTATCATACTAAGAATTTCGACGATACGAGGTTCATTACCTTAAACATAACCACATCTAACATAGTAGCTTAAGCCATGTGACTGCGTTTATTTAAGCATAATGTTAGCATATTGCTTCCGGGGGGGGGACGACGACGACAAAGCATTAAAATCACAATAAGGCCGGAAAAAAACAAAACCTAAAAAAACAGTGGGTGTGTTTTTTTAGCTTTCAGGGAGGAGGAGTAATTACATACGGTGCAAATCCATGTTTACAAGAGAAGGTCTGGTTTATGGGACATCTGAAACCACCCCAGTGTCACAATGACACTGAAACAAACTAAAAAAAAAAAAAAATAATAATCAGCTTTTATTACCTTAACTTTAGTTTAAAAAATGTCAATAAACAAACATGGAGGCTCAGAAACAAATATATCCTCCTCTTTCTGGAGAACAGGAAATGGGAGAGGTCCAACTCCGCCTGCTTGAAAACAGAACCACACCAAAGGCACACAGTGAGGCTTTATGAGCTCCCTGTCATTTCTGCTGTGGGAGTTTGTGGTGATGGTTGTGTGTGAGACTGGGCTGCAGCATAGGTCACTGGCCGGGTGTAGCTCATCACGCACAACAGAAACCTCTTTGTCCCCTGCATCCCAACAGAGAGGTGTAATTTAGGGCTGGCTGTAACCCGACGCTCTCCAGCTGGGAAAAAACCACGAGAGCTGAAGCCAAAATGGGAAAATTGGGAGATTACACTAGAACTAGAGCAAGAATCAGCAGGTTACTGACTCATCTGAGGGAGCAGGGGTGATAATAAAGAGGCTGCCCTCATATTTTTCATAATAATGTTTTTAATGTAACACACAGAAACAAGCAGAGGACTCAGCTGACGGCGCAGATCGCAATCTTTTAATTGAAGTCGCGATGAAATCTGTCAGTGGAGGCGGAAATGAAGACAGATAATGTCTCGAGCTGTGATGAGACATCCGTGCCGTCCGCAGAAATCCCCTGTCATCCAAAGAGAGAGACAACACAGCCAGCAGCCGAACAATATTTTTCATATATCAGGATCACATCAAAGGAAACGGGATGAAGACAAAGCACCAAACTGGGACACACGAGCTAGATAAACACTTTGGAGTTTGAGCTGTTTCAAATTGACCGTGACTGTGTTAGATTGATGCCAACAAGCTAAAGAGTTTCTTCACTTTACACCAGAAGTGGCACACAGACAGCACCGTGGAGACAGACCATAACACTAATATCTTTACAGCTGTTTACTTCACATATGGCTAGAGACCAGTCAGCAAACCCTCTGGCAACCACCTGTTGCTAAGGGAAAATGTGTACTTCTCTACCGGTTGGCAACATGTTGGTAGAATTTGCTGATATTGCTTTGCTAGTAGTTTGCTTGGAGGATGGCGACTTGTCTGCAAATGGTCACCAACTGCTTACAGAATGAAACTGAGAAAAGTTTACCTTCAAAATAAAAGTTGTGCCTTACCGCTGCAACCAGAATCTTTCAAAGGGCGCAACTTTTACTTTGAAGGCAGAGATTCTGCGTCTTGAGTTGCACTTTTTCAAGATTTGGCAAATAGCTGGCGAGTGTTTACAGAAATCTGCATCTTCAGCGCAAACTACAGGAGATTGTAGCTTGTTGGTGACTATAACAATCACAAGGAAGTTTTTGACCCAGCTCCATCTTTGTCAGCAACCATTTTCCAACCATCAGGGGAAAGCACATTTCCCCTGATGTACTAAATATGTACTAAATAGGCATTCACTCATACGAAATTTGGCTCAGTTATGTGCTTTTGGTTTGAGTTACCTCAGTAGCAACTGCTAGCATGAGTAGCAACTGCTAGCATGAGTAGCAACTGCTAGCATGAGAGCTAACAGAGCACAAAGAAAGCTAAACAGCAAAGCAGTTTGGCTTTTTAGAAACGTA